TAGACAAATATTCACAGATATTCCCGTCTAACTTGGACTGGTAACCCCTACAATGCTATGTGAATTATGTGCACAAAATCTTGGCACTTATATATAAGATATCTGATTTTCTTTTAGAAATTTCTCTCATGATGCGGGTCTTAAAGTTTATTTATAATGGTCTTAAAAAGTCTTGAATTTAGTTGGTGAAGTCCCGCATCATCTGATGGGCACATTAACTTTATTTCCCTGATATTTCCTCAGAATAAATTTAAAGCAGACATAAAAGTTTAGTTTTTTGTTGTTTTGACTTGTTCCAGATGTGGAGGAAGCTCCAGCTGCTGCAGAACCTCAGGGAGCGTCCGACAGCGACGACTGCATCGTTCAGGGACAGGCAACACGGAGGAAGGTCAGTGAACGCCACATGATGTCATTTAACTAAGGGCGTCCAAAATGTGGCCTGAGATCCATCTGCAGCCTTTTTAATATTTTGTTCTGTCCTTTTTTTCAGGAAGCAAATGTCAGAATTTTACAATAAAAGATGTGGAAAGATGACGCTGTTTGCGTTTTAATTTTATTGTAAATGATTAATCTCAGCATGGACAAACACGCTGAGCCTAGATTAAAAAATGTTTCCAGCCAGAAAAAAACACAAGTAGCTCAAACCTTTTGCCTCATTTGTTAAAGCAATTATCCAAAATATGGATATGAACATTTGGCCCAATATCAATATTTCTATTAAGGCTGATAACTGATATGTACAGATATTATATGTAATTTTCTACTGTTCTGACACTTTTTGGGGAAAAAAACTACCAGAAACAGACGGCAACAATATGGACATAGACACTGATTGTTAATATTGGCCCAGTTTTATTTATCGTGCCGATACCGATATATTAAAAATGACTAATATTGGCCAATGCTGATGTTAGTACCGATATGTTTTTTAACATTTTGGACCTACAATTGCTTAAATATTACTGTTTCACTACTACATGTTTTATTAATTATTTTTAAAAATGTCACACACAGTATATTTTTGCATTTTAATTTCCAACTGAGCATTAAAATTCAGATTTGTAATTTAAAGGATTAAGGATGTTTTATTGTTACATTTTATTGTATTTTCTAACATTTTAAAACACTGAACTAACATGAACTCCAGCTTTTTAATTCAGTAACTGAAGTCTAATTTGTTTCACTGATAACTTTCATGACGAATGTTAAAGAAAAACATATTTTACACATAACAGCTTCAGTCTGTGACTTTGTGAACTGAACCATAAAGTTAGTTTTTAAATCCAGCTGCAGCTTCATTAACCTGATTCAGTGAAACGCTGTTTGGTTTTCAGCTGTGTGAGCGTGTCCGGGTGGAGGTGGTTTCTCTCAGCCTGACACCCGAGTCCCGGCTGGCGCGGGACGACACCGTGGTGCGTCTGTTTGTGGAGTACAACTTCCTGGATCTGCCCACCGAGGAGACGCCGCTGTCGCTACCCAAACCGCCGCTGGGCCGCAGCATCAACTTCAACTACAGCAAAGGTCTGTAACTCCTGGATCGTGCTGGTTCTGTTCAGGGACTCTTGAGTTTCAGTTTTCGTTTTGAGACAAATTCCAGTTTCTGAAGCTGAATTTAAACAGGAAGTTTGTTCTGTTAAAGATAGAAAATGGATCTAAGTCTATGTTCACACTGCAACCTGAAGTGACCCAATCCAACTTTTTGTCAAATCAGATTTTTTTGGGCCAAAATTAAAAATTAACTTTATATTTTGGCCCATCTGATGGTGTAATTTTTAAATATTAAATGACAGTTACTCAGTACTTGAGTAGACTTTTTACCAAATACTTTTTTACTCAAACGTCAGTAATTTATTCAATGGCTACTTTTTACTTTTACTTAAAATTATATTGAAGTAGTTCTACTCTTACTTGAATCTGATTTTTGGCAACTCTGCCACCTCTGACTAAAACAGACTCTGATTCATCTGAACTTTATCAAAATCTGTTTGTTTTGGTTGAAATTTGCAGCTCTGCATACTTGAATGTGCACAAAACCAAAGAGATTTTGTTTTACTTTCAAAAAAAGAATAGTTTGTACTGATAACCAGCAGTTAAAGTCGTTTAAATTTACATAATTTTACAAAAACAGATAAAGCCAACATGTTTCACAGTTTGAGAGCATAATTACAATCCCAGAAGAAATCCCGTTATGCTAATCGTTTGTCTGTTTGTAACATTTGTTTGTTGGCTTGTTTGTGTTTCCGTAGTGATTCCTGTAGACGCAGAGAACAACGCAGCGAGACGACGGCTGCTGAAGGAAGTCCTGCAGGGCCGAAACGCTCAAATGGAGAGGTCAGAAATATTATTATATTTAACTAAAACTAATAAATAACAAGAACTGGAATAGAGAAAACATTTCCATTAACTAAAAATAAATAAAAACAGTAATTAAAGGGGGGAAAAACTACAACTAACTGGAACAATACTGTGCGTTTATAAAACTTCTGTTCAGTATTCATTACCCATTTGATGTAAACATAATCACAAGACTTTGACCTTTTAACCAAAGTATGAAAAAACTAAAACTACTACTGCAACTAATAAAAACTACACTAAAACTATATGATATGTAGCTAATAATAACTAGCAAACCCACTCTAAAAACTAATTAAAACTAAATGAATTGGATAAATAAAAAGGTCACAATAAAATAGAACTACACTGTAATGAAAAACCCAAAACTTTTAAAACCTTGGAGGTCAGGAGATGAAAACGGTGAGACAGGAAGTGACATCAAGATGACTACCCAACTCTTCTGTCTCTAATCAGATTACATGGAATGTCTTTAGAATGAAATACCTTTATTGTGTTGTTTTTTTATGACAGAATATAATAATAGTGTAAATGTCTTCAGGGAAGTGAACATTTATTGGTTTTAAGTCTGTTGGGAGGAGCTTTGAGTTTAAACAGGTTCAACTCCATATTCATTGTGTTTTTCCAGGAATGTTCCTGTTTTTATGCATCAGATTGGTCTGGGAGTGTTTCAGTGTTCCGTTAATCTCTGACTTTCCTTCTTGGTTGAGTGAATAAAACATGATTCCTTGATGTGGCAGCATTTTCCTCCAGCAGGATCTGGAGATCAGATATGAAGGAAGGAAACCAGAGCCAGCTGTTAGTCTGCCAACGAAACAAAAGAAAAATCAGCAAACCTGCAGGCTCTGAGGAAGCTGCTTTGTCAAAGAGATTGATATTTAAATTTAAATGTTTAAAAACATTATCATGAGAGCCTCAGTTTGATCAGTTTCTAGTTTTAGCATGGAATTAGATTTTATACCTTCATCCAATAGTTAAATGTATGAAAATTTCAGCTCATACACTGTTCCATCTGATGCTATACTGAATTTCTCGAGACAACTGTTTGTGATTTTCGACTAGATTTTAAACCAATCCCACATTTCAGAAAGAGGGACAAATGTTTGTGTCACTCGCTGCGTTTCTGTTACACATGTGAGCAAAACTTTGTTTATATTCCGTTAATGTCAAAAAAACAAAACTTTGCAATTGTTGTGTTTTCATTAAATACGAAAATCGCACGTGAATAAGTTTGATGATGATGATGATGATGATGATGTGTCTGCCAACAGAATCCGGTTCACGGTGGTGAGCGAGCCGCCAGAGGAAGAGGAGCAGGAGAGGGAATGTGAGGATGTGGGCGTGGCCTACCTGAGGATCCCAGAGATCCTGGAGAAACGGGCGGACATGATGGAGGCCAGCCTGAGCGGTGAGCACACACACACACACACACACACACACACACACACACACACACACGCAGAGAGAGTAAAAGGATCATCTGATTCAGCTCCGTCATTAAGATCTACCAGTTACGATTTGTAAGGTGGACTTTGTGTTTCAATATGGCCGCTCTTCGCCTCAGCGGCAGTAACGTGGCAGAAACATGTTTATTTTTACAGGAAGTCACACATGTAAGATTTCATCTAAAATCAGCGTTACATGTAGCGCCTGCAGCTCTAAACTGAACAAATTGAAAATTATGTTAGCTTGTGGAAAGTAAAGTATAAATGATGTCTGTTTTGAAAACAACATTTATGGGCGCCGCCATGTTGAAATTCTGACTTGTTAATTAGAACATTGGTCTGATGTCAAACCCAGCTCTGTTCCCACTTCCCAGGTTTACTGGAAAGCAACATAACTCAAAGATCTGCACATTTTTATAGTCAGATGCCTGCTTTAATAAATATTTTAAAGATTTGAAGAAGATTGCAGATCTTTTTTCACCAATAAATAATTCTTCTTCCTGTACTTTTTGTGTTTTGCTCCAAAATCTGCAGCTCTGTCAGTCTCTTTGCTTATTTCTGCAGATGTATCTCCCCTCTGCTGCCCATTATCTCCATGTCTCTGTGTCTCTGCAGTGTTGGACGTGGAGGACAGCAGCCAGGTGGTGGGACAGCTGACCGTGTCCATGGAGGGATTCCAGGCTATGCGGGCCATCATGGAGGACCAGGACCTGGACTGAAGCTGCAGCTCTTGATTTCAGGAGGATTCTGGTCGCTGTTCTGTTGGTCCATCAGGATAAATGGAGAGTAAAGCGTCCTGGTTTTTAAACCTTCAGGAGAGACTTTGAACTGCGCAGTGGGAATCAATCAGAGTGATTCTTTCAGCTCCAGAGCCTCAGCTGACAGGAAGCTCTCTGTAAAAAAGATAATTTCTTAATTTGTTAGAATCTCTGATCCGTTTTCCATCTTCAGATCTCTAACTGCTAATCAGACAAAGTCAGGACAGACAGGATAATGTCTAACATGGCGTTCTGCATTTTCTGCAGTCTGTGGGCTGCTTGGACTCAGATTATCTGCAGAAGCTGCAGGTTGGAGCAGCTCCTCTGGCAGCTCAGCCTCTGGTGGTTCCTCCTGCAGCGCCGACAGGTGAGAAAACACCTGAATGTTTTACAGTTTCACTTCCGATGACGAGAAACAAGCAAAACAATGCCTCACTTGATTTCATGTTTTTATACCAGACTTGGCAAACAGTCTCACTCTGTGCCTTAAATTATTTTGAACGTAGATCCTTCTAATAAACGTTTCTTCAGAGTCCAAACATGTCTGTCCTGGAAAATGTTCTTTTTGAAATTTGATTTTCTTTATTTCAAGACAAAACACAAGTTTTAAAAACCGTGTTAAAGTAAGACTGGAGTATATTGTCAGAAAATCGTTTCATATCAGTTGATATCAATAATTAATATTTTATTTGTTTTAAAGATCTGAAATATAGTCGAACTGGCGATGTGAACTTTCCTCGTTTACACAGTTTCCCTCCACGCTGAGGGAAACTGTGTCCATGGATGGATTCCAGGCTAGGCAACTGTTGTTGCTAGGCAACCAAGGAGCAAGTGTGTTAGTTGATGTCACCAACCCAGCCTACATCTCCCAGAATGCTTTTGGTTCTGGATCAGAGTTCAGTGAATATTGCATAGATTTAATATTCAGTCAGAATATTCAATATATAGAGTTGAATATTCTATATATTGTGAGACATATTGATCACATGACTATCACAATTTATATTTTTATTGATTTACTGTCCAGCAATCAGTTTTAATGAAATAATTTAATCAGTGAACAGTTTTTTGGGGATTGTTTTACAAAGCTGTAGGAAAGTTTAGTGGAGCAGCGGTTTTCTTTTCCTCTGTAGAAAGGGAGAGTTGCAGATTAGGCTGCGTGCACACGTGTGTGTGTGTGTGTGTGTGTGTGTGTGTGTCAGGCAGCGGCGGCTCAGCGGGCGGCAGGATGTCGGCTGCAGCTGACTCGCCTCAGAACAGCAGCAGGAGAAGCAGAACCAGACGGAGGAGATCTGGAGCAGCAGCAGAACCCGAGCCGGACGGAGCCACTTCCACTGTAGCAGGTAAAACTGACCTGAGAAGTTTTCCTCTGAGAATAGAGCAGATTCAGTTGCTTTCACTGCAAAAGGTACTACTTAAATAAATAAAAGACTCAATAGCAAGAAATAAAATACAGATAAAGAGTTGAATAGTTGTAGTACAGTTCTGGTGGATTTGGTCCAGAATAAAATTTACACTACAAAGTTCTTGGAAAGAGTAACTGAAGAAAATGTTCTGCTAGATCTACTGTGGATTTCTCTGTAGCTCTGGAAGAACTGTTTGTGATCTCCAACTTCTCATCACAATTTTTTTTTTTGTCATTTTCAGTTAAATCTGCATTCAGTGAAGTTTGCAGACTAATTAAAAGTTAGTATTACCATAATGTCATTATTTATCCTTTATGGTTTTTCTGCTCTTAAATCCTCAGATTAAACATTTCTAATTCCCTAGTTATCCTAAAAAAATGTCAGAAATATTTTTTGTTTTATTTTCCTCCTTTTAAACGTTTCTCCAAACATCTTCCAAGGTTTATTTTTCTAATTGGAGCTGTTGCAAAGCTGGAAGAAATAAAAAAAATTAATGTTTTAATACAGAAAATTTAAATTTATGTTAATATCTGAAGGACTGTGAATCAAATCTCTGATTAAATAATAAATTCAACAGGATTTCTCTTTCCCAAAGCAAACCAAACTATCATCAGTAAACATAATCAGCCGTATTGATCGGAGGTTTTTTAGGAAATAAAGACAGCGTTCCTGGTTCTGGTGTCAATGGCGGCGGTGTTGTCTGAGCTGATGTTGCCATGACAACTGCCTGCTCTTTGGTGTGGAATCGAAGGACGATCAGCTGGTGCTGAAGGCTGAGCGAACCGCAGCAGCAGATCGTCTCTGAGAACAGTTTGGAGTAGTGACTCAAACAATCAACCAATCCACGATTAACTGTCGATTGCTGGTTTATTAATTTAAAATTAGTTCCAATCGATTAACTTCCGTTCAGACTACCTTTTAGTGTTGTAGTTTGGCCCCCGTCCAGCAGAGGGCGCCGCTGGTCATCCTTAAACGGAGCCAGTTGATCGATACAGAAATAAAGATGGCGGCCAGACCAGAACACGAAAAAGAAACGGCCCAAACTGAGTCCGGTGTTTGATGCAAAATGCACTTCATGCGGTTCGGTTTAGAAATATAAACACTCGACAAGCTGCTTAAGTGAAGTTTGATGCTCGGCTAATTCAGCCGAGCTGCTTGTTAGAGCAGGGTTATTAAAAGTTTAATAACATGTTGACGATAAGATCAATCAACTTTGCATCCCAAATTCGGAGTATTGATTATTGATAAGTCGGAATATGTTCAGCTGTAGACAGAACCCTGAGTTGCTATGATGAAGCAGCTGCTAGGTGCAGAACAAGATCACTATCAAACGGCTGGACTGTTAATGGAGAAAAGAAGAAAATGTATCGAGTAGGACATGAGATGAACAGATGAATGGTGTGAGATTTAAATTGAAACATTTTTCTTTCAAAGAATTCAAACAGGGAGTTTTAACACAGTTTCCCAAAGCAACTCCTGGTGGATGATCATGACTGAGTGGTGCTGAAAATCGCCTGCATTGTGTCATTGATTTTGGAGCAAAAAGCGTTTGTTTTAGGCGCAGCTTTATAACTGATATGTATATATTTGACCCTACATGGATTTGAAAAAATTATCTTGTGGTAACTTTCAAACCATCAATGGTAAAAAAATTATCAGTCAGGAGTGCTGACATGTTTTCCATACACTTTCTGCCCAATAAAAAAAGCCATGAGAGACAAAACAAAAACTTTAAAAATACGCCAAATTTAAAACTGAGAATAAAATGTCAAAAACAGAGGCTGAAAGTAAAAATCCTTAAAGGGGCCCTATGATGCAAAAAACACGTTTTTTTTGTTTTTTTTTGTGGTTTTGTTTCTTTTTACACTTTTATCCAGTTTAAATTAAAATGCAATTCAAAAATATTTTATAAAAATATTTTTATTTATATTATTATTGTAACAAATTTAATAAGTTACTGTTGAATAATAATAATTGGGTCTCAACTGCTTCTTAAAAAAAGCCCAAGCACTTAAAAAATATACCCACCTATTTTTTTAGTAACAAATTAGGCAGAAACGTTGTTCCTGTGTGACCTGACCCTGAAAAAGTGTGTGGTGGGCGTCCCAACCTTTCTCTACAGTGAAGGGTTTTAATCATGAGTGTGGATGAAGATTCCCGCTGGCTGGAGTGGGTAACCAAACAGTTTGAGACCATCGCTGGAGACGACAAAGAAATCGACATCGATGAGTTTAAAACTGCACTCAAAGTCAAAGAGGTAAGAAACAGCCAGAAGTCTTATAACAAAACCTGATTTTACCAAAGGGCAAAAAGACAGGGTGGTCTTCTACCAGATAAGGTAATCAGGGTGTAGAGGCACAAAAACACTGAAAATACAAGATTTAAATCCACTATTTGTTTCTTTCCCTGTAAAAATTAATTGTGCAAGTTGTTGGGCATTGAAATGAAGAAGCTGCTATTTTGAATGTTTGTTCTTGTTCTTTTTCCATAAAAATATCTGGTTTCCATATATTAAAATTTAAAGCTGAACCCAGAATAGTTTCTACGCCTTTTGGCTACGACAGGAACGTGCATAGCTCAACTATGCTTCTCAAAAAATTCCTTTAATCTCCATGGTAACCTTTCAGCTGTGCAAAACACTTGGTCGAACCCAGCTCCGCCTTCGAGATGCAGCTCCTCCTCAGAGCTTCAGCTTTCAAGCTTCTTTTTGCCTCACATAGCAGAGTCATATTAAGTCATATTTGATATGTGTAGAATTTTTAAAACGATTGAAGGTACCATAGTTACTTGATTGTGCTGTAAAATGGCACTATGTGGCTGGAAAATACATAATACTGCTTCTTTAATGATTTTTTTTCTAACTTTCTCACAGAAAGTTTGATGTCAGATTCTGATCCTGAGAAATATTCAGAAACATTTCAGTTCAAACTATGTTTATGCCCACAGTTTGATCTCCACCTGTACGGTTTGCACATCAAAGGGTAGATATTTCCGTTGTCTGCAGGGAGCACACAACCAAACTCATGCTGCTGTTGAAGGTTTTTCATATTAATGCTGCTTTATGATCATTTCCAGGAAGTCTTGTGTTTTTACAGTTTGTTCTGAATATATTTTACTTGTTTCCAGTCTTTCTTTGCCGAGCGTTTCTTTGCTCTGTTCGACTCGGATGGCAGCGGATCCATCAGTCTGGACGAGCTGCTCAAAGCTCTGAACCTCCTCATCCACGGCGACGAGACTGACAAGCTGCGCTTCCTGTTCCAGGTCTACGACGTCGACGGTGTGTTCGCACTATCACCGTAAACAGTGGAGGCAGGGAAGAGATGTATGACGGCGCATTAAGGCCTTTGTAGATATTAATACAGGAGGTGTAAATTTTAGCCAAAAACGTTTAGATTTATCTCAGATATGTTCTAGAACATGGGAATTTCTGACTTTGAAAAGCCAAAAACAGCCAACTTTTGAAAATCTAAAATTTTCATGTCTTTCTACATTTCTGAGAAATCTTAAAATTTAAAAATTTTTCTCACAATTTTTCCTTTTCGAGCTCAAAAATGTCCTTATTTTTTTTCTTGCACATTTCTAAGATTTATAATTTTTTTCTTGCAAATTTTCAGTTTTCAAAGTTCAGTAATTTACCTGTTTTTTTCTAGAAAATTTCTATTATTAATCTCAAAATTTAAATGTTTTTCTTGTAAATATTTCTACTTTTCGAGCTCAGAAACCTATAACTTTTTTCTAGAAAAATTTTGAGGTTAATCTCACAATTTTTTTTTTATCAGAAATTTTCAACTTTCGGAACTCAGAAATGTCCTTATTTTTTGTAGAAAATGTCTGACTTGATTTTATGTTTGCTAATTTTTTGACTATTCAGGCTCAGAAATGTCCTTATTTTTCAGGAAAATTTCTAAGATAAATCTCAAAATGTAAACGTTTCTCTTGCAAAGTTTTGACTTTTCAAGCTCATACATGTTCTTATTTTTTCTAGAAAATGTCTGAGTTTAATATCAAAATTTCCCATTTTTTCTTGCAAATTGTTAACTTTTGGAGTTCATAAATGTCCTTGTTTTTTCCAGAAATTTTCTGAGTTTCTTGGCAGAAATGTAAAATGTTGTGTTTGTTTCGTGCTAACAGGCAGCGGTTCCATCGACCCAGACGAGCTGAGAACGGTTCTGAAGTCATGTCTGCAGGAGAGCGCCATCTCTCTGCCAGAAGAGAAACTGGACGACCTGACACTGGTTCTGTTCGAGTCCGCCGACAAAGACAGCAGTGGCTCCATCACCTTCGAAGAACTGAAAGCTGAGCTGGAGAACTTTCCGGAGGTGATGGAGAATCTGACCATCAGGTGAGCGCGTTGTTTTCCGCTCTGTGATGTCATAAAGACGGGTGTTAACAGCTGTCGTCCACAGCGCCGCTAACTGGCTGAAACCGCCGGATCAGGAGCAGAAGAAGCCTCAGACGCCCCGGTACCTGACCCGGGCCTACTGGCAGAACAACAGCCGGAAGCTTCTGTTCCTGTGCGGCTACGTTCTGCTCAACCTGATGCTCTTCGTCGCCGCCATGTTGTACCACCGCAAAGGTGGCGGCTGGTTCATGCTGGCCAAGGGCTGTGGCCAGTGTCTGAACTTCAACTGCACCTTTGTGATGGTATGGCAGAAATATCGTCACCAGCTAGCACCTTTTCTACTTAAATATAACAAATACTGACATTATTTCTGCTAAGGCTGTTACGGTAGGTCAACAGCTGAAATGACTGTTTCAGATGGCAGAAAATGGAGAATGGAAGACGATTAGAGCCACTAAAAAAATGAATTAAATGCTGATTTTTACTCTGAATCTTGACCTTAATAATATAATTCTTCAGAATTCTGATTTAGTCTTAGAATTCAGAAATTTTCCTCAGAATTCTGAGAATGTTTTTTTAATTGTGAATTTTTTCCTCTAGAATTCTGTCTTTAACCCCAGAATTCTCTTTTTCTTAGAATTATTTTTTTCCTCACTTCTGAAATTTCTTATTAGAATTTTGACTTTTTCCTCAAAATTCAGACTTTTTAAATCAGAATTCTATTTTTTTTCTTCAAAATTCAGATATTTTACTTACTATTCCGCTCAGAATTTTGACATTTTTTTTCTCTCCAAATTGTGACTTTTTCTTTCATAATTATAACTTTTAGTCTCAGAATTATGACTTTAGACCCCAAATTCTTATTCAGTGTCAATATATATCAAAATCCAAATAAATAGCCAAATATTCTTAGGTGCATGTCAGATATGTTGCTTGTATATGAAAAATAATCACAAAATCTTTTCTTCCTTGTTACAGGATTTGTAAACCTGCACTTTATCCACACTGAAAGCCCATCTCAGATTTACTTGGTAGATTTTACGACTAGATTTGCCTGATGGTTTATAAATAGTTTTTATTCTGAGAAATGTCAGGATTCTGTGATTAAAGTCAGATTTTTTTCAATGACCTTAATCTCCTTTCTTAGAAAAAGCGATTTGTTTTTCTTTACCTGGTCATCAGGGGTCTGGAACCTGTGGCTCCTAAGCCTCCAGTGGCTCTTTGGACATTCCACAATGGCTCCTAATAACATGGCTGAAATAGTGAAGAACTAACTAATATTTTTTTATACCTAAAAGTACATTTTAGTGATCTATCTAATAGAACGATTGCATCGAATTTCCACAAAACACACACCAAGTAGGTCTGTCTAGGTTTAGGTTTAATGAGCCTCCAGCTCATCTGAATCAGTTTTCCTAGTTTGCGTTTGTGTGTTTCCAGGTGTTGATGCTGCGCCGCTGTCTGACGTGGCTCCGGGCCACCTGGGTCGTCAGAATCCTTCCTCTGGACCAGAACATCCTGCTGCATCAGATCGTCGGCTACGCCATCCTCTTCTTCACACTAGTGCACACAGCGGCACACATCATCAACTTTGGTACTCAGCATAAATATGACCTGCTGACCAATAATGAGTTTTTTCAGGGTTTCCTTGCATCCTTAAGATGTTGTATAAAGTCTAAAATCTATGTATCTAAATTAAGGCTTTAGGGGTTTTAAATTGATTTCTTAAAAGTAAGTTGCCTTTTAACATGTTAATCACGGATCTTAAATTTTGACTGTTTGTCGAAATAATACAAGAATAAAGTAATAATTATACAAGTCGTAAAAACATGAGAATAAAGTCATAGATTGAAAATAAGGTTGTAGTATTACCAAAATAAAGTCGTAATGCTTCGAGAATAAAGTCGTAATTTTGCGACTTTATTCTCTACTTGACTATTCTCGTACAACGTTAAATAAAATAATAAAATATTATTTTCATAATATTATGACATTATTATTTTTTTATTTTCTTACTTTATTCTCATTATTTTATTATTCATTTTAAAGTTTGAGTGGCATTCAGGCATATTCATTGTGTTTTTATGTTGTGATTGTGAGTTGAGGCGACCGTTAACTGACTGCTAGTTAACTGACCCTTGCTAACTATCTAGGTAGCTAGCTTGTTAGCTTATTTGCGTTTATCACGGATAAGTTAAAATCTTTCGCCAGTTTACTGGACAAAATTCGTACATTTCAGTGGAAATATAGATCTCAAATTATACTCATAACTATTTTTAAACGTTTTAAAATGTTAAATTTGAGTTGGTAAAACCTGCAGAAACTGTTTTTACAAGAAGCTAATTATACCTGTTGTTCTGACGCCGTGTATCTCAGCCCGGAAGTCGCAAAGCGGGGGGTTCAGTCTGTGGGAGTACCTGTTGACCACCAGGCCGGGGATCGGCTGGGTGAAAGGGACGGCGTCGCTGACCGGGGTCATCCTACAGCTGCTGATCTGCCTCATGGTGTTCTGCTCCAGCACCTTCGTCCGTCGCAGCGGACACTTCGAGGTCTGAATCTGTAAAAACTTAGCCTGGCCTTTGAAATCCTATTCCGCTCGGTCGATTAAAATCTCGCTTCACAAACAGGTTGGGCTTTCTCCCGTTTACAAGGATTCCCTCCAGTAGATTTTTTTTTTATTTTTTTTTTTACCGAGCCAGTCAGCAAACAGAAGAAAAATGTTGTGACTCATGACATTGACTTTCTTCGTCTGTCTGTAGTTTTTGTGAGTTTTAGCCGTTCAGTTTGTGATTGTCATACTTCCAAATATTTAATTAACATTATCATCCATCTTGTTCCACAGTGGAGGATGGTTGTTTATGCAATTTCTGGTAAACTTCATGGATTCCAACTGGCACTTTACACTCACCATGGCCAAAAACGTTGCTGAGTTGGTAACAGTGGGCTGTCTATTGTTAACTGCAAACATGCAGACATGACCTGGTGGTCTGGCCTGTCAGTCAAACCTCTCTCACGGGAGAGCAGAAGAGGACAGAGATTGATTTTTAGACCTTTGCCAAGTTAGATAAGATTGGGGGATAAGATCAGTTTCACTTGTCAGTTTTGGGCGATCACCAATCTCCCAAAATAAAGGAAATGAGCAAAGATTAATTGGTGCACCCCTATTATTAACGATAAAATATTCTCATTAATTGTAGTACCCTTCATCTGAACCCAAGTCACACAGATGAATGTGATTAGTATCACTGAACTGCTCACAGTGGCTGCATTGAATCATATTTTCAAATTTATTGATTCATCTTTTTTGAACAATGAAAAAAAATAATAAAAATAACAATCCAGAAAATAGACAGTTTTTTGATAAATCAAAATATTATGATAAGAAATTTATCACAATAAATGGTAGACAATAACATTTTCCTGTAAATGCCCACCCCTATTGGGTAATATTTAAAACTTCAACAGACTCCAGGAAGCAACAGCTCAGAAAAACTAGTTTGCTTCATGACTCTTTCAACAGCTGATTATCTTTGTACTTTTCTAATCTCTATCTGTTGTGTCTCTTCCAGGTGTTCTATTGGACTCACCTGTCCTACATATGGGTCTGGATCCTCCTCATTATTCATTGTGCAAACTTCTGGAAGTGGTTTGTGGTTCCAGGCTTCGTCTTCCTGCTGGAGAAGATCGTGGGAATCGCCGTGTCTCGTATCGGAGGCCTTTACATCGTAGAAGTCAACCTGCTGCCGTCCAAGGTGCACAAAACAAACATCCACTCCAGTGGTTTCCTGAAGTGATCGCAGGCAACAAAAATAAGACTTTTTATTTTAAAATCCTGAAATTTTTGAATTTTTTTTATCTGCACATGCAATAGTGAAGTATACCAAATACAGCAGTCATTTTTTTAGGTGTGCTTTTCCTCTTATTCACATTTTTCCCCTTCCTTTTTCCCTTTTTTCTGAATTTCATTTTTCTGTTCTTTTTATCCATTTTTCTTTCATCTTTCTACTTTCCAGTTTTTCCTTTTTGTTTCTTCTTTCCCATGTTCCCTTTTTCCCTTTTTTAAAAATCTTTTTTCGTCCTGTTTTTTTAATAGCACAAACATAATTTGTAATTTAACAAGTTCTGATATCTTTGGTTAATTTTAAATACATAGTAAATGTTAACCACATAAATCTGTTTTTGCTTAACAATATAATATAATTTGCATATGTTAAGTAGCAGAGATCAAACTGATCGTGTTTAAACCCATGTCTTCTTGCATTTCCCTGTATGCTCTCTGTTGCTGAATTAAACAGGTGACTCACCTGGTGATCAGGCGTCCCCAGTTCTTCCAGTTTAAACCTGGAGACTACATCTACATCAACATCCCTGTGATCGCCAAGTACGAGTGGCACCCGTTCACCATCAGCAGCGCCCCCGAGCAGCCAGGTGTGAACAGACATTCACCCCCTTTCTCATTAAAATTCACCTAAATCCTTTCAGGAAGTCAAACTTTTCTGAAGTTTAAATTCTCAGCAGGTCACATTCACAATTTTGAAATTTGTTTGAATTTTGTCACCAAATACATCAAATAAATGTACAGTTTTATCATTGTCTGTTCATGACCTCTGAGCTGCAGACACCATGTGGCTACATGTGCGCTCCATGGGCCAGTGGACCAACCGGCTGTACGAATACTTCAGGCAGCCGGAGAGCCAGTCGGTTTGTCCCAAGTGGCTGGCCACCAGCCTGAGAAAGCAGCGCCAGGAGAAGCGGCAGCAGGTAGGAACATCTGGACGCTCTGCAGGTGGTTCCAGTTGTACCCAGAACTGGGAAATTCCAACTTCCCAGCTGGGAAAAAATTTACGCAGTACATCTTTGAAAAGCAGAAGTAGAGCCTTCTGCACAACCAACAAGAATGCAGCAAGTGGTTTCTGTTTGATAAGTCAACAACAAAACACCTGTCTTTTCCAGCAGCCATTGTACGGCACATACAGCAGTAAACCAGCTGACCAAAGGAGCTGGAGCTCACTTTGGTTTGCTAGGTTATGGGTGGAACTCTGCTGGGTTTGACAGTGCCTGCTGATTTGTGATGTTATGGAAGTTTTTGAAACAAGTAAACAACAGCTAGATGTTTTTTTTAAATTGCTGTGCTGTTTTAGAAGCAATTGAGACCAAATTGTTGTTATTCTACAATAACTCCTTAATTAAATGAGTTATAACAACATTTGCTTTCCCTTTGGGATAATAAAGTATTTTTGAATTTTATTTGAATTAAACTGGACAATAACTGAAACAGAGTATTTATCACTGACCTCTGTGCTCCTCAGAAGAACCAGATGTTCCTCTCCTCAGAGTCACAGAAAGCCGTGGCTTCGAACCAGGATGACACCATCAAGCTGACGATGTTCCGGCAGAATGGGTCGCAGTCTGGATCAGCTTCGGACCCAGAGACTCAGGTGGAGTTTCCTCCAGAGAAGTCTGGGCTCACAGAGAGAGGAGAAGTCCCACCACTCAGAGAGGTCAGAGCTGCTGATTGGCTGGATAACAGTACTGGTTCCGAGACAGATCCGAAGGAGAGGAGACATTATGCTGGAGGGTTTTATGTTTGTTGTGCCTCTAGCAACCAAAATTACACACTGAAACACTGCAGCCTTTTAAAATGGTTCCTCGTTTAAAAGCATCCCTCTGTCAGAAAATAAGCTGAGTGCAGCATCGCTGTTCAGAGAAGATCTCAGATCTGAGCCGCTAAAGAAACACACCCATAGTTCTGATTAAAAATTGATTAAAATCTGATTTCACCTAAAGTTTAAATGTAAACAAGTGAAAAAATTATTTGGTTTATTAGTATCAGCTGACATCCATCCATCCATCATCATCCTACAAACATGTTTACATTACAGCATAATAATCTGCAATGAATCTGTACAGTGAATTGTTTTGCTGCAGTGTAAACTGTAAAACAAAATCCTGTCTAGTTTATTTAGACATTTTAACTCTCAGGTCTGATCCTCTGCTCCTTGTTTTACCTGCAGGTTTCTGCCAAGTCTGGTGAGAATCACAGATTCTGCAACATAAAGGTACCAATCTGATAACTCTGGTAAATCAACCAACCTCTGCACTGTTCATGTCGATTCAAAGTGTGAAGATGGATGTAAACCTACAGAAAATATTCCTCCCTATCTCTGCTTTATGATGCTTCTGTTTGGTGTTTAGATGGTTTACACAGTTATGCCAAACTGCTGCAGCTCATTTAAATTCTGTTTCATTACAACCAGAGACTCCAATATGTTTTATTAGTATTTTATATGATAGAGAAACACAAACGGCTGAATAACTGTGCAGTGTTAATAAGATCCAGTGATGTTGAAACATCACAAAAAGAGTATCTGCCAGGGCAGATGATTCTGAGTACAGATGCACCGATACGATATTGGTATCTTTATCGATCTTGATACTGAGAAAAATTCTAGATTGAGTATCAGTGACAATGTTCCCGATCTGTAAGAGCAGATCTATTCAGTCTAATTCTATGCTCTGTGTTCTGCGTGACACCGTGCTTTATTTATTTATTTTACCTTACATTTAAAATTCCTTATTACACTTTCTGAACCATTTGAAGGAAGATTTGTTGCAGTTTAATTTTAAGTTTGACCAAAGTAAATAAGATTGTTTTCATCAGTTTTAGTGTCCTTGTTATTTATTTTACATTGGCTGTTCTTCTCATAATTGCACTGACTGAACAAATTAAGGTTTTTACATGTTTGACCAAGCTTGTGAAGCTGTTGGTGTATTTAAGAGTTATCAAATAAATTGGTAATTCAGTGCATTTATGTCTGTTTGAAAAAAATAAGCATTTCAAGCCATCGGCCGATGCCAAACCTCAGATATCGGTATCAGATGTGAAGAAAGTGTATCAGTGCATCCTGAGTTCTGAGTGTGTCTGTTTTATGCGTCAGTGTTACGTAGACGGACCGTACGGAACTCCGACCCGGCAGATCTTCGCCTCGGAACACGCCGTGCTAATCGGAGCAGGAATAGGAATCACACCTTTCGCCTCCATCCTGCAAAGCATCATGTACCGGTGAGAAAACCTTCAAACACTCAGTCCATCCCCTGTCCTCTGGTTATACTGGTTACACTGGTAGAAAGCACACGGAGCTACTAATTAAACCATTTTACCATCCAGCCATCCATCCACTCTCTCTTTCTTCCACTGAAGTTTTTACTCGCCTCCACTTTTCCATTACATCTCTTTCAACCTGACCTCTAAAGCTGCTCAAAGGTCCGCTTGATGATCTTCATCATCTCCTATAATGAACATTGAATCCAGATTCAGAGCGGAGTTACCACATTTCCTCTAGGCAGGGCTTCCTGTCTGCTCTGATGTTAATGAGAGCCTCCATCCTGACTCTAACCCGGTTGTTGTTCTACCTCAGGTATCGCATGAGAAAGCACACCTATCCCAACTGTAGCTCCACAGGGTGTGAAAACGTTAAAGATAGCGACATGAGGCTGCGTAAAGTAAGAACACGTCATCCTGCAGTCTGTCCTGAGACATTAACATGTCCGATCTGATGTGGCGGACGTGTTTCCGTCTGCTTCCACTCTGCAGGTCGACTTCATCTGGATCAATAGAGACCAGAAGTCCTTTGAATGGTTTGTTAGTTTGCTGACCAAGCTGGAGATGGAGCAAGCCGACGGGGAGCCAGAGGGTGAGAGTAAAAAACTGTAGCTGGTCACAAAAAGATGAGCTGGTTGAGAACTAAACTGTAGGGCTGAAGAAAGAATGGATCCAGATGTTATCATGTTATGAAAACAATTAAAAAGCTTACAATTAATTGTCGATTAAAGATCTAATAAATTAAAATTAGTTTCAGTCCATTTACGTCTTTTAGTCTTGTAGTTTGGCCGCCATCCAGCAGAGGGCGTCGATGGTCATCCTTAAGCGCAGCCGTTAGGAACAAAGATGGCGGCCATACCAGAACGTGAAAGAGAGACGGTCCAAATAGAGTCCGGTTTGGGATATTAAAAAAAAAGCACTTTATGTAATTCTGTTTAGAAATATAAACATTCAAGAAGTTCCTTGAATGTTTATTTCGGCTGAATTAGCGCTATTTGTCACTTTAATAGCACTTATTCAGCCGAGCTGCAACGAAGGGTCAACTTCTCAATTAAAAACTACTGACGTGTTCCGAAGGTTAGAATATGATGATAGAAAAATGGAGTAGATGATAGAGAAAAGATGTAACATGATGGAAAAAACACGATGCCAATAATTAAGGATTTAACATTCCTTCAAGGCCAACCACAGTTCTGTATGAATATTTCTGTTCATTGGGGAAATAAGTGTTTCATATATTTTATTTTAATTTTTTAATTTTTCTATTCACCAATATGTATAACAGGTTCCTGTTTTGCTATATTTTACAAATATGTCTAAGTTTATTAATGTGAGAAAATCACAGTTTTCTGTTTATTCAGTCAGTGTTAATACAGCTGACAAAAAATATGATCAAATTTAGTGGGTTTTTTAAATTCAGCATATTCTAAAAAAGAACAAAAAACAGCCCTTTATGTTGTGGAAAGACAATCATCTCTCTTAACAAAAACGCGTAAACTCAAGTTTTTAAGAGAATAGCAGCTTATTGATTAAACGTTAGTGATAAGATCAGGCAGCTTTAGATGAACTGATACCTTGCATTCTTATCTACACCATATTTCATAATAAATCTGAAATAAGTGATGATAATTTGTTTTAACTGATAATTTGTTATATTGGTCTAATTTCACAGCACCAGCTCAGGTTTCATTGACTCATAAATGTCCATATTGTTGCATCGTTTTGTTATGAGTCTCATCTCCTCAGGTGAAGTCGGGTTTATTAACACAGCTGCTGTTTGCCAGGTCAGTTCCTGGAGATGCACATGTACATGACCTCAGCGCTCAGCAAGAACGACATGAAGGCCATCGGCCTGCAGATGGCGCTCGACCTTCTGGCCAAGAAAGAGGAGAAAGACTCCATCACAGGCCTGAGGACCAGAACTCAGCCAGGCCGACCCAAATGGGAGAAGGTGAGAATCCATCTGAGGATGATGATGATTCACATTAATCAAATTATTAGTTTATGTCTGACATCACAACCAAAAATGAAAGGTTTTGTTCCTGGCAGCCATTCCACTGTTCTGCAGCTTTTAGATTCACTTCTTCTGGATCAAATAAATGGTTAATGACCAAGCCTTTGTAAAAGTTGCTGACAATCCAGGCAGGAAGTTCAGCGTTTTGTTCAGGTGCGTCAGAGAAGCGATGCATCCAAAAGTTTCAGTTTGACCCTGAAGAACCAGAATTACCTTTACTTCATTGTGACTTTGATTGTCAAATTCAATTCATTTTAGTTATCTTTGAGTAAATATGCAAATATTTATTAGATATTATTAGTTAAATATTGCTTACTTTTTATTAGTAGTTGTAGTAGTTTTTTCATCCTTTGGTTAATATTTAGGTGCAGAATTCAAAGAGGTCAAACTATTGTATTGTGATCATGTACACATCAGTTGGATAATGAATACTTATTAGGAAATGCCATTAACAAAAATGTATTAAATTATTGTGACTGGTGTTTTTTCCAACTTTTGCTGTTTCCGTCTTGCGGAATACCATTAGTGCCGGCAGATGAAATATAGAGAATGATTTGCTGACAGCTGACGTAAACTGCCTGCGTAGGAAGAAAAAAATCCATTTCACATCAGTTCGAAAGGCTAATAAGTAGAGTCATTACACGAAAACAAATAAAATTATATCTATAATTTTAGTATATTTTAGTTTATAAACACATGATAGAGTTCTAGTTAGTTATAGTTTTTCCCATTAATTACCGTTTTCATGTATTCCAGTTAACAAAAATGTTTTCTCAGTTTCAGTTTCTGTTAGTTTAACTATAATAATCTTAGCCAGCAATCCAGTTTTATCTGTTAAAAAAAATCTGTTGTTTTCATTCACAGAATGTTTGAAAAACAACAAAACACTTGTCTTTTCCAGCAGCCATTATACAGCGGTAAAACCAGCTGACCAAAACTGCTGGAGCTCCGCTTGTGTTAACAGGTAACGGGCTGGGCATTACTAGGTGAGGGGCCACGCCCAGCCCTTGTTGATTTTGTTGTGGTCAGGAGGTTTTTAAAACGGCTCATTTTCCAGACACCAAAAAACATGAACTTATTGCTAAAAGATAGATGGGTGTTTTTTATAAGCAGATACATTGTTTTTACAAAATGGAAGTATACAAAGTTCACAATGTGGATTTTGCACAATATGTCTCCTTTAAGTGCCTTGTTTGAGCGGTTCATCCAAGAACCATTTCTTAATTCAGTCCAACCTGGTCACGAAGAAAGTCATAATATTCCTGCAATACTACAACTGTATTCTGATATTATTTCGACTTTATTCTCATAATAATATTACTTGCAATTTTGACTTTATACTCATAATTTTTTTTAATACTCTAATACTCCATTGTAGTGTGTGAGAGTTTTCAAAACATAAAATTTTGTTACATCTCAGTTCAATTTGTCCCTGCTATGGAATACTATTTTACTGTTATAAGTAACAGTAAAATATGATGTCATATTGAAACTGTCTTCTTAGTTCATTTGTAGTGTACATTTATCTCCAAGGTGTGGTGCTGGAAAAGATTGAAAACTTACCTTGTAAAATTCTTGAATTTTGCTGCGGGGAAAGTGAACAAACCTTCATATGGTCTTCTGTTGTTTGTGTTTCCGTTTGTCAGGTTTTCCAAAAACTGTCCGAGGAAAACAAAGGAAAAGTTCATGTGTTTTACTGCGGCGCTCCAGCTCTGGCTAAAGTCATCAAAGCTCAGTGCGAACACTTCGGCTTCAACTTCTATAAGGAAAATTTCTGAGGATGTCTCTGTTGATTTGGTTTTATATTTCTATGAGGACAAAACCTGACAGAACACCAGCTAAAGGAAGCAAACTGCAGTCCCACTAAAAATTTAAGACTTATTTAGACTCAGAGTTACGTTTTAGTTAGATTTAATGTAGGGATTCGGTTATGATGCTTACTGTAAATGGAATGTCTCTATTTGTATCTCAAAATATAAGTCATAATTGTTGGAATTAAAATGTATTTCTTTTCTATTTAAAAAAAACATGAACCATAAATCTCAGAGTCAGTCATTTGTTACAGCTAGTCTTTGTTAAATTCAATAAATGGATAAATTACACACATTGATTCAGTCTACTTTAAGCATTTCTTTTTCTGGTATAATGCCTTGTCTAATTCCTTGCAAAGCTGTCATTCTAGTAAGCTGCCTACAACACACTATCTTCCACACTTTTTCTTTCCACTCAACTTTCTACCTCTATGTTTGAAATAGCACAGTAAAGAACAGCTTTTTGAGCAATGATTTTGAGCAATGATCTGTGGTGACTCACCCTCATTTTGAAAGTCCATAGCATATTTTTTGTAATCCACAAATAGTTTGAGTGTATATCTTATGAATTGTATTACTAAAATAAAGTAACTTTTAACGCTAATCTAATTATTGGAATTGACTTGGATCTATCCATATGTATGTTAGTTAAAATAAACTTTTTTTGTTCATTTTTTTTTTCTGTGACTTATTATTTTTAGATTACAATGCCGTGATTACATTAGTGGGTGATTTGTAAATCATTTGACTCTGATTTTATCCAGTCCATTTAAGGAGCGCCAGTCGACTGAAGAGCAACTTCTCTGTCAAGATTATCGAAACAGCCTGATTTTCTGGTAGCTTTATTGTTTTAGAATTAGTGCAGAACACATATACCAATGTTAAAGGTAATATTTCACCTTTGTGCCTTACGTTGGTGGTTTATATTACAAATATCTTCCTTAAATTAGTAGAGTTCGATTACTCGGCGATCTGCCAGCCAACCTGCGGAGCTAGCCTGGTTAGCCGTTAGCTGGATGCGCAGCAGCAGAGTGTCGTCTGGCAGCTACTAAACCATCGGACCAATGTCTCAAAAATCAACTTGGATTTGTTTTACCTCGTTGGAGACGAACATTGGCCGCTAATCTTAACAGAGCCTGCCCAGCAGAGTGACCCGGAGACGCGGATGTTTCTGTCTGACGGTTTATTGTTCAGCGGCTAACCGAAGCTAGCCTGTTAGCAGCTAACCCGTTAGCAGCGGCTGTAAAGGTAGGCCGAGCGCCGATGATTTTTCTTTAAATGTGGATTTTTTTCATTCTGTGATTTAAATTTTGGGTTTATACTCTCACCTTTTACTGTAGCTTTTTATAATGGATATTTAGAAACACTGGATATATTTAAGCAATAATTAATGTAGGTTTTAGCTTCATCTAAAGGTTAGCTGGACATATCTAGCTAACATCACCAGATTAACGATTACTGGTTTGTTAGTGTGTCTTTTAGGTTAGTTAGAGGCTTTGTTGTAAATAAACTATGCTTGGGTGACTTGGTACATTAACCTCCAGTTGACGTTGACATTTTATAATGTTTGTAGGTGTTAGAGAGTCGAAGTGGGACACAAACAGTGTTCAAAATGGATTTATCCAGACCTTATTACTCGGTATCACACAAGAATATTCAAACAAAAGACCAGCAGCAATGAGTAATATACAAATGTAACATTTTTGCGTAAAAATCTAACTTTAAGCAATAAAAAAAATTTCATTAAATACTGTGAATAAGGTCATTTCACATAAAGGGGAGTTTTTCTTCAGCCCAACATCCTAGTTTGCAGAAACTGTTCCTGAATCAGATTCTTGGGATTTGGAACCTCCTATTACTTCTGCCTCATGACAGGAGTTGGAAATGATCTTCTGATCCAACATAGCTCTATGCAGAAATCCTGGATGGCTTCAGATCTCTACTGGCATCATGCTGAGCTCATCAGATCATTACGACTGTCCCACCATGATGCAGAAGTTCCTGGAGTCCTGCTGGTTCTGTGACCAGGTTGATGAGGAGACCATGTTTCCTTCATTCCCAGACAAAAAGTAGTACATATAATTTAAAAAATAAGAAATAAATCAAGTGAAGAAGACAACACATCCATCTCAGGTTTATCTAAGTGTGTCACAATAAGGAATAAGTCAATAAATTACAGTGACATTTTCCTTTTGCGTACATGTTTGTGTAGTTTGCCTATTCTTTAATGTGATGCTTTACTATTGAAAAGCCACCATTTTGAAAAATACAGCAAACTTTTGACCCGCAGTACAACAAAGTTAGTTTGACTCTTTATTTTGTTACAAAAGTCCTGACTGGAAGTTTTGCTTGTTTCTCCAGTCTGAGTCTAATGATTCCTATGTTGTTTTGTTGAGACTTCATAATTTATTTAGTTTGTTTCAGTCGTTTTGATGATTTATTTTGCATATTTAAAATGTCTTCCAGTTCTGGTGTTAAGTGTTCCTTATGTTGATACTGATGTTAATGCTGATATGTCATTGATTTCTACTGGAAACTGTTTTCTTTCCAGTTAACGAGGAATTTCTGCTCTTTATCTGAGACTGTATTAGTTTGAAACCTAGATTGAAATCAGATCCTTGTTATAAAATGGTCGCTGTTTGGTCTGATTGGTTCACTTCGATTTATGAAGTAAGACCAGTCATTTGAATATGGTAGTTGTTGGGAAAGGTGAAGTGTTGGCTCATTAGCTTTTTTAAATAATCATAAAGCTCCATGTCAGGGTTATTACTGCTTGTTCTCAGTTATAATGGGAGTTCAGGTTGATTATAATTTCTTGTGACTATTGTCCTCCTGATCAGATTTACTTTCTTTGTTACCGGAAAATGTTTGGAATGCTGTTCCAAACATTTTCAGTTTTCATGACTCATTCTGACCTGCAGTCCTCAATCCAGACAGTTTATATTTATTTTAATTTAAATAAAAAAGTGTCCAGTGCTGTACGTTTTATTCATGCATCGATAAGTTATAGCTGAAGGAAAATGCAGATCGTCCATTAACTCGGTTTGTGCTTTTCAGACGGAAGCAGGAAGAAGTTGGAGAAACTATGCAGAAATTAAAAACCTTAAAGTGAAAAGCAAAGCTGTAGTCTGGCTGGTATTTAATCCAGGATCTTCCTGCTGTTTCCCTCAACGTGAAACCTGTTAATATTATTATTACTGAGCTTAAAGTGGAGAAAAATTCTTCTCTTAATGTGATTTACAGTCCTTACTCTGCCCTAATGACTCATTCTAATAGAGCTGTGTGTTATGGACAAAAATGTTATATTTTCATTTATTTTTCAGCCATTTCAAGTATTACATAAGCTTGTCACAATAAGCTAACAATTAATCACCTGGTAAGTTAAAACAAGCTTGATAATTTCCGTTCTGATATTTTTTGAAGGGTAATATTGTTTAGAGAGGCAAAATAATCCATTTTATTTATGGTTTCTATTGTGTGTTTTGTGTTTTTTCAGTTTCATTCATTGTTTATGGTTTTTTTTATTTTGGATACTTTTTACAAAATTAAAATATTGTTTTTTGAGAGGGAAAACTTGGATTATTATACCATTATAATTGTATTATTTGCAAATGATATAGAAACCATATCTTATTTTGCGATATTTATATTTACTAGGACATTTTATCGTCCAGTAAAATTTATCATATGACAGGCCTATTATCACAATATGATGTCAGATTACCAGTCGATTCTAGCAAAGCATGTTTCAATACAAACTGCAACAACAAATTAAAATAAACATTAATTACTAATTATATTTTAAAAAGTTAACAAACCTTTCCATTAAGCATTGTGGATCACATATAAACAATAATAAAAAAATATATATATATATATATATATATATATATATATATGTACACTTTCTAACCAATCAATTTGATGATAAAATCAATTCGCAGCTGTTTTTATGAGTGATTATGTTGCATGTTAAGCATAATATAATATACACATACTGGTTGTAAAATATGTCGCATCGCATTGTAAGTATGGTCTGTATTCATGTTACAGAGAAATTGTTTTTCTCTTTTCTCTCTTTCAACCAAAAACTGGATGACAAAAGTTCTTTTTTTTTTTCTGAAGGAAGACTTTGTCTACAGAAACTTCATAATTTATTTTATTTATTGTTTCTGTTTTATTTACTTTCCAGTTCCAGTGTTAAATGCTGATTAAATTTTAAAGTTTATTGATCTTTGACGATGGGTTCTTGTATTATTGTGCCATTAGTACCATTTTATTACTCTAAAATGGTCTCAAGAACAATATTATCGCTTATCACAGTAACTTCTGGAACAATTTATTGCTCTGGAACATGTATGTGTTATCATCACAGGCCGAAATATAGTGACATCGTACCTGGTGTCCTCATTGCAATATTTTCTCATATTCTGCAGCACTGCGTCTCCATCTTGTAAAAATGCTTAAATGTTATTGAACTTTTAAGCTTTTCTTTCTGTAATTTTCTCCTCACTAAAATATTTTACTTTTCTTACGTTCTAATGGAAAGTTTTCTCTGAATTAAATGCGATGACTTCTTTCCCTCTCCTCTGACTGAGACTGATGGTTTAAATCCAGGTGTTACTCTGATTCGCCCTGCTCGCTGACTAAAACCCAAACACTGCGGCCGGGGTCAGCGAAAGGTCACGCATTAACCAGGTTCAGCTGTGTGGATTATTCTGATCTTAGGCGCTTTATGCCGACGTGTTTACTCCTTAATCTGGCGGTGACGCATCATCTGTTCATTCCTCAGCTGATACTGAGTTGTAGCGGAGTGTGTGTGTGTGTGTGCGTGTGTGTGGAAAGGAGTTAGATATGCAACTCTAAATAAAACTTTGTGTTTAAAGATTTCAGATGGGATCAGTTTTAGAGGTCAGGTAGAATCTGTTTGTGTGAGTTAGATCAATAATTAATAAATCAATTAATGGCATTTTAAGTTAAAACAAGCTCAATAATTACCATTTGCATGAACTATCATCTCTTTCTTTAATTTTTCTCTTTTTCTTCCAAAACTTCAATGACTCGGTCTGGTGTTTTAGTCTCAGCTAAACCTTTATTTATTTATAACTCTGTAAATTTGCGCGTTAGTTAAAGCTGCAGAGATCAGCACCCTGAAATCTGAATAAATGCTTTTTTTTTGTTTCAAACTGAGAATAATTATTACTCTGGATTAACGACTGCTGAGGAAACGAAGCTCCTTATTGTCTCTGCAGCTTTGGTGCTTTTTTAAAAAAAAAAATTCTTCCTGGTCTGATTCAGAGTTTAAGTTTGCTTGAATTTCACTTTGGTGTTTTTAAGGTTTGGAAAGTGCTCGATTTCTTACAAAGCTTTTGAAAGTGCTTGATATTGAAATTGCACAGTTTTGTAATAATGCAATAAAGTGCAAACTAATGCTTGATTAAAATCTGTTTATATATTTTAGTATAAAATTGTTATACTGAACATTTCAGACTACTTTGTGAGCATAATAATAATTGGTAAAATATATGCAGTGTTTTACAAATAGTGTCCTTTTCACCCTTCATGCACAATAATCAGTTACCAATGATAACTTATCAATGATCAGAAAAGCAATTAATACTTAACTGATTTGAGTTTTTTTGGGAACTTGCTGCAGCTGAACTAAATTAAACATTTCTTGGGGTTTTTTCATGTTACTTTTTGGTATTTTCTGCCAATTTTATAATTGTCTTATTTTTTTTAACCAAACTTAATTTAATTTTCCGTTTCATCATTTATCCACCTGTGACTGTTGTGAAGCTTTTTGGTCAGCTGAGGTTGTTGTAAATGTACTCCATAAATAAACTTTGACTTGATTTTTTTTAAATTGTTTACAGATGAGTTGATAACGTATCTATAAACTATTAGGCATCTATGAAGGGAGCATTACTATGGAGTGGTACCAAATTTTGCTACATTTTAGTTTATATGGTAAATGTCAAATTCTATAACAAGACATTATTAATAACAGTAATTAATCATATATAATAGTGAATTGAAACTGTATTTTTTTTTTGTTTATTTTTATTGTTTTATCCCCAATTTGATGCTGGAAAAGTTTGAAAACTTACCTTGAAAAGTGTTTGTACGCTTTTCTCAGAGTAAAATTCAAACTGCTGATCGTTCGTCAGTGTTTTTGCTGTTAATAATAGAATTATGGTGAAAATATTTTCTGAACCGATCCGTTTCTGTCGTAGCCTGGCCTCTGCATGGCGACAACAGACTGACGGCAGCAGGAGTGAGCAGCCAATCAGCTGAGGCCCGCCCCCGTAGCAACATGGCGTCCCGTCAGAGGAACTCGGTCCGGATCCTGTCGAGCCGGGAGCGGGGATCCCAGACGTTCGGCTCGCAGCGGCTCCTGCAGCTGCTGGTGGAGGAGAAGGTCCGCTGGATGAAATGGCAGAGTCAGGTGGGTTAAAAAGGCTCGAGTCCCAACAGCTTGGATTTAATGAAACTGGACATCCTCAGCACATAAATGCTGCGTTCAAGTGCAGCCTTCCACCAAACACCTGTTGTTCTCCTGATCATCCATTAAGAATGGCAATAAATTAAATGCTTAATAAGGTAATCTGGGTCAAAAAAATATATAGAAAAAAAAACACTTATCTTATTTGGTCATACAGTGTAGCAAAATGTATATTTTTAACATCACTGTTTAATTT